CAGAGCACTGGGTAATGTCATTCAACAGCGAAAAGCCTATTATATATGGTGTGTGATTCCCAGTTTCTGCTTTGAGCAGCATCTTGGAGACACCTCATGCAGGCAGGCCTTCCTGCCAATACTGGCCTTAGGAGAAGGTGGCCTGAGGTCAGGTGTGTATTTATTAAATTACCTGTTTGCTGTGCAAGGCTGTGTTATCAGTGGAGCTAATGGAGCAGTGGAGCTCCCTAAGGAGCTGTAGGGGTACAGATCTGAAGAGGCAAACAGAAAAATGAGGGATTCATGAAGAAATCCTGTAGTGGACTTAGCTGTTCCTTCAGGGGTGGGTATCTGCTTGCTGTACTTCGCAGTTGTCCCCATTTATGTACAGAGATAAATTCACATTTACAAGGGACATCTAGCAAAATTTCAGTCCCCTTACGTATACTTATTTGTTATGTGTATTTATTATGACAATAGTTGAGACTTCAGATGGGAACTGAGTTTCATTATTGCTAATGATCTGTTCTGCACCTAACTGAGAAATCAGCTGTAGTGTATGGGAATTCTCTGCCATTCCCTGAAAGGAGTGTGACCGCCTCTTTCTTAGAGCTACGGTATTAGTAATAACATTACTATCCCAGTATGCTTGGAAATGAATTCTGGAAAAAATAAGTATTTTTCCTGATTTGTATAATTCCACATTAAAGGAAGCTTTGAGGTCTCTGATTTCAAAGATTTTGCCAGTGGACTTTAACAGCAGGTGCTGTTATATTGTCCCATTGATGGTGAGTACCAGCAGTGTCCCAAAATACTCTTTCTATACGTCACTGTCAAGTAGGTGCAGCCTTTATTCTAGGAAAAGGTTGGAGATTTGGAATGCTTTATTGAGGTAGTGTAATCTCTAAATTGGGTTAGATCTTGAAAGCTGACAGCGATTTTCAGTATTGACACTCGAGGGAGTTCTCCATTTTAGTTAAGCTTGGATATAATTCCAGAGGACTGAAAAATGTGTAAATTTTGCTTCTAGATGTGATTGTACCTGGAAAAGATACTAGACTGACACTGCAGAATCTCAGCATTGTGAAACCCAAACCAGTTTTGGTTTCATACATGTTAAGATTGTATTACATCCTGGCAGCCTTACATGACCCTCTCCAGAACTCTAGCCGTTTGCTGGTCGGGATGAAGTGAACGAGTGCTGTCAGCAGCGCAGGGATCCTGCTGCAGTTGGCCAGTCCAGGAGACTCTATATTCTAATTTGCTTGTTCCAGGAAGCAAAACATAAAATTACCTTCAGAATTGGGCAGTTTCAGAATCATGGTGGTGGTTGGGCTCCATATTAGCCCATACATGCTGGTGTATATACATTTTCTTGTGGTATTTTTCCAGAGCATTTGATTTGTCACTGACCTGTATATTCCATGTGTTGGCCGAAACTTCTTGCACTTTGTCACATAAACAATTTGTGTTTTCAGACTGTTTCTCATAAGGAAATGCAGTCAATTAATATTGTCCTAGATGCTCTTTCTGGCTGATCTCTGCTTGTCTCAGCTCTGAAACATACATTAGAACTGTTTGTTCATTGAGTGGAGATTCCTATGAAGAAGAGAGAATTTTCTATTTGCTTAACTATTCATGTGCAAACTGTATAGTAGGTTGTTTCTACTGCATGCAACAACATTTGCTAACATTTAAATGCATTTTTTTTACTATTTCAACTGAATATTACTGCATTTTTTGAAGTCAAATACCTGTTTAAACATGGAGTCCCTTGATGTCAACAACAGGGTGTTGCAGATCCTGTTAATGTCATGTTGTAGTGAAAGTGTCCTGATTTTTTTTTTTCATTTCCTGTTAATGTACATACTTCATTTATACTGAAGTTACTTTCACATGAAAGAAGTCATTAAAACTTACAAATTGCCCATGACTCAAATGGCACAATAAGTACTAGTGTCTGTAAATTATATTTTTCTTAATCTTAGTAATTGTTCATAATTAAAAGAACAGTGGGTTACATACAGGGAGTGCAACAGGAAAGAATTACCTGGAACATTGTTAATCCTCAGCAATTGAACACAGAGCTGTATAAATTTACACTAGTGCCTCTTAAAACACAGCTAATTTGTTCACGTTTTCTTAGGAGCAATTAACAGCAGGCAGGAGCTCTAACCCGAGTCAGGTTGTGATTCCCACTGGGGCTGTTTGTAATGAACACTATGAGTAGCAGCAGCTACAAACTGTTTACATTAAGACTTGATTAATAACAAAGCCATCAAGCTTCACACTGCCAGGTGAAGGGGTGTAGCTAATTAAGTATCATGTTCATTGCGATATTCTCTGGCTAATGATGAGTTTTGGAGGGGCTATTTTGGGGGGATGGTTACGGTGATTTGCAGCTCTTATTTTTTCCTGAAGGGTCAGTAGAATTCAACTCGCTTGCATGAAGTTGTCATTTGCTGCAGTATAGAAGTGGGTTTGTATTGCATCGTTTTAGAAATTTCAGTCAGAGGAAGTGTCTGTTTATGACAGTTACTTAGAGCTGTACAAATGAGCTCTTAAGGGAATTAATTAACTTTCTGTTAGGGTTAAACAGGAATGTTAAACATGCCAGTGGAAATTAAGTTCAGGGAGCTCATTAGAAAACCTGGAGAAATTTTCATAATCAGTTTCCTAATTTCTGCCTGATTGAACATTGACTCAAGCTTGCCTTTTTTGGAAAAACTATTTATACTGAAAACTATAGTTTTAGCAAATAAGAAATCTCCTGAGTTTTGCCAGAATAAATCAAAAATGACTTTTAAAATTTCTCTCTGAATGAGGTATTTACAGCGATGGATAAATCTGCATGTTAAGGAAGTTAATATCCATGCTTAGGTATTACTTCAAGGAAAAAACAAAAAAAAACAAAAAAAAAACAAAAAAGACCAAAGTTTCAGCCATACTGAAATGAGAGGGCGATTCTTCCATCAGCCATTGAGTATTACTGCATCCACTACTTTATTCTAGGGTTCCCTTGAATTTAATAAAACTGTGATCAGGCCCTGCAAGTTTTTGCTGTTCAGACTTGTGGTCTGGTTCAGACTTCAGAGACTGACACATACTCTAAACAAGGTTATTTTGCACAAGGATGTACCCACCAGCAGTTACTAAAACTCCAGTTAATGTTGAGGGCTCTTGAGGTGGAATAATCATGTAAAACATGACAAATGTATGCAATAAACCTATGGCAGAACTGTGTTTTTTAGAAGCTGCTGATGCTTTAGAAGCAAAAACACCAGTGGAAATCAATGAGCTTGCACCTAAGGAAGTCTAAGTCATGAGGGATGCCTGGATTTCTAAAAAGGCGGCAGCGCCGTCATCCCCGCCTCTCTGGGCTTCTTACAAATTATTTTGAAATGCTGTAGAAAATGCAAGTTTTGCTTTGTCTAATCTATTTAAAACTTTTTTTAGGATCTTACCCCAATTCCTGAAGTATGTGACAAGGCTCATGGCTTTTTGTTTGGAAATGACTTTTCCACATTTCTGTTGCCCTTTTCCCTCCTAACCCTGACTATTGAAGATGTCAATAATGTCCTCTATTAGGTAATTTATGTTTTCTGAGAGCCTGTGTTGTACAGTAATGGTCTATATCACCCATAACCCCAGATTATCAATCACTGCGCTTGAGGCTCGCTTGAGGACAGATTATCAGTGACTGTGCTGGCGAAAAGTTATTACAGATGAACTTTATCAAATAATGCTACTTATTACTGTGTTGCTGTTATTCATGACATGTCCTCAGCTCTGCACATTGACTTTATGGCTGGTTCCATGAATACCAAGCTACAATTAACCACGTGTCAGGCATTCTCATCTTTTAATGGGGTCTGCCGAGTCCTTTGCATGGGTCTAGCATGGTCCAAACATCTCAAGTTTTTGCACAAATTAGAGTCTTAGGAGAACAGAGGAAGTAGGAAGAGCCTGAGAAGGCAAGTGAGATCTGAAGACAGGGATAGTAAGGGCTTGTGAAACACAAGCTGAGATGTGCTTGGGGTGAGCCCTAGGAAAAGAGGCATCAAGACTGCAGACAAGCACAAGAAAGTGCCCTGGCTCTTGGCTTGACATATGCAGCAAAGGGAGGGGCCAGAGAGCTCTCGAGAAGGGCCCCTCCGTGATATCTGCAGCAGTTAAAAATTACTGAATTTAGGCAATAAATTGCTATAAAATACAAACAACGCTTTTACATTGCTTTTGCTTTTTAGATGAAGTAATGATATGTTTAAGAATATAGTACTTGAAATTGTTACATATGAGACGGCTTTTACTAGGTCAAACAGCAACCAAAACAACACATTCCCAACAACAAATCTAAAAACTGCACTGAGCTGTAATGTTGCTTTAAAAGATACAGTAAGCTCCATATATCTCCCTGAAATATGCTTCCAGCAATGAAAAATCACACATAAATTATGTATGTAATTACATTTTTATCTGGGCATCATAATTTAGCAAACGAGGCTTAAAAATATCATCAGAAGGGAAAAACAAGGAAGTCAGAGTTCAAACCTCATAATCATTCTTTCAATCCTCAATTAAAATTAGCATTTGCTTTTTCCTCGCTAAGCTCTTTTATGTTTATGCAGTTTATTCTGGGGAACTAGAAATCATTGCTGATAGTTCTGAAAAATTGTTTCTTGTCCTTCTAAACTTTTTTTTTCTGTTTTAAACATAGCCTGCTATATTTTTAGTAGCTTCACGATCTTGCACTGTAAATCTATCTTTATAGTGGCGTGACCGGTGTTTACAGACACTTCTAGGCACTGTAAGAGGAGAAGCCTCTTCAGCACCCCCACTGCCTGCACGAGGCCCTAAGATCTGAGCCTACCATCTATTCCTGAGCTGTCAGGATTATGACTGAACAGCAAAATGAATATGCAGTGTGCACAGAACACTAGTGGCTGTGTACTTATTCAAAGAGAAGGTGGCATCTGTACGACAGGTGTCTCAGGATATTAACTGAGGTTATTTATCTGCAGGATTTTATCCTACCAGCGCTTCCTGCGAGACTTCTTCCTATGTCCACCGAGTCGAAGGATAGACGCTGATCCCTTCCTGAAAGGTGCATCGCATAAGTCATTATGATTTCCTTTAGCATTTGGGTGGGAAAACCAAACATGAGTAATTATCCCTGGCAAATATTTTTTTCTGTATCACTAAAATCCCTTCAAATTGCTGCCCTGGAGAGTAAACGTTCTGTTTTACTTTTGGGAGCAGTAGAGGCAGCCGCAGCGTAAGCCTTTATATGAACCATGAGTTTATTTAGAGGAGAGCAAATCAGCTCCTAATTGAACAAGCCCAAATCCACCAAGGGCTCTGGCCTGTGTTGCTCACTAAAAGCACTACAATTCAGTGTACACTTTGATAGATGTACACTGGATTGGACTGGACGCCACGGTGCCAGGTCACTACCTGATACTGCAAGGCTCAGACTCGGCACTTCCATTAAACTGTGGGCACTGACCCCACACTTGCACTGAGCTTGCTGGAAACAGGGAAGGAAACCCACCTTACCTGGATAATGTAGCTCTAGTAGAAGACAGTGCCGAATAGAAAACATAGTGGAGGGATCTGTCACAAGGCAGCTGTGCTGAGGGCAAGAGTTGATGCAGCTCCAAAAAGGAGGATGCTTTTTATCAGCAGAAGTGCTTGTTTCCTTGTGCAGGTCTGTTTGCTGAAGGATCTTGTTTGGCTGCTTAACTTTCCACACACTGATGGGGCAATGTAGCTTGGTTTCCCAATAATCGGATTCAACTGCACCAAAAAAAGACACAGTTTATGCAGTTTATGCTGACATTGTTATGCACACAAAAAAAAAAAAAAAAAAAAAAAAAAAAATCAATTTTACAGTATATTTTCATATCATGCCCTGAAATTCCCACATGCTTGGAAAGGGAATGGCAGTTGGTAATGCCAAGCCTTGCTCAGCGCATCAGCCGTCACGCAGCTGTGAGTGCCAAGCAAAGCAAAGACCCAGGAAGAGGCAGCTGGCACCAGAAGTGTGCTGAGCTGCAGACCTGAGCTAGAAACCAGCGGAACCATTTCCAGAAAAAAAGTAGTATAGAGGTTTATGTTCCTAATGGAGATAAAAGATTCTAACTGCTCAACTCCTAATAAATCTCAAGTTGGGAAGAAACATTAGAAGATGGGCAGCTTGTTAGAGCTGAAGTTTGATTGGAGTCTAGGTGTTAAAATGGAATGCAGAATTACCTGTGTCTTTTCTGAAGGCAGAACCCCTGTGCACAAACTGAGTACGCCCAGCAAAAAGCTGCCACTTCACAAATACTTTAAGTTGGTAAATAAATGCTTTATTTACCACTGTTTCTAAGCAGAGCAATCTAACCTTTAATCTTGTTCATGCTCCGTGGTTCCATACAGCAGTGTGAGCCTGCCAGCCGTGCCTCGAGCGACGCGGCTGCTGAACGGTGACATTTGGTTTGGTTCTTCCCCGCTTGTCCTCTCCTTTTGACCTAGCTGAACCCCCAAGCTTCAGCTTCAACTTCTGAGGCGCTCTGGAAAAAAAAAATAGCATTCTGCCTGTTTTGTACTGATGTTACATGAGGAGAAATCTTCTACTCTGAATTTTTAATAGCATTTCACATATTATAGTTTTGGTCTACGTTAGGATTTTTGCTCACTACTTAAGGTCTGTACACTCAATCCTAGTCTCAGCTCACTTGATATAATGGGTAATATCATGACAAATTCCTTATTTTTCCTTCTAGCAAGGCAAATTAAACATTTATTACTTAAAATTAGGAGTAAATCACAGCAGCTTTTCACTGAATCTGTCTTTGGTGGTGAGATTTTTAAGATAAAGTTTGCTCAATATAACTGTTTTGTTAATAATTTCCTTCCATTTCAGACTCTATGGACTCTGTTTAGTCACTGAAGATTCTGTATTGAAATTAGTTAGTATTCAGGGTTGATAGCAGTGAGCAATTTTCCTTGAATCCATGCTCTCTGTGAAAAGCCTTATACTACTGTTCAGTCTCTTTGAGGGAAAGGGCTTTTAAATGGCAATTATTTGGAAGAATTTAAAAGTACTCCTCTCTCAAAAAAAAAAAAAAAAAAAATTAAACTTTCTCGCAACTGCCTAGACGAGGCTCTGTGGTGCTTAGCTGATCGGCAGGTGCTGTTTCAAGGAGCAACAGGATGGGTGCATTTAAAGAACATGCTCCCCTTGCAACCTTGCACTGTTTCATGGCCACCGATTTTGTTGTGGCAGGAATCTGCACAGGAGGCATTTTTACCTTCCCAACTAAGATTGTCCAGGCACTAATATAGTTCTGTGTTCCAAACTGGTACAAACCATCGGATAGATTTAATCAGACAGATTTTAAAATAGCAATCCTGATTGTATATTCAGGGACAGGAACAATCATAACTGAATACAACCGTTTTGGTACGTTCTCTATTTTCATTGCTATTTGTGTTTGCACAGCTTCAATCTAATTCCCCCCCAAACCTGTAATAATTACAGGTTGTCCTTTATATTTCTTGGGATTTCGATATACTAAGAAGGCTTTTGCTCTGGTGTCAATTAAGGCTTTTACAATTTATGAGGATTGTTTTTTCCAAAATAGTTGAAGCTCTACATGGGGTCATGGGTCCTTCCGTGTCCATTGCACTGGAGCTTGGCTATCGCTCCATTCTTGTGTCCTATGCTGAACTATTTCCCTTGTCTCTTCCCAAGGATAGAAGTCAGAGTACGGCTCTCAATCCTCCTTCTCCCCTGGAAGATCTGATCCACTCGTGGTGGGCCGCAGGTTTTACAACCCTATGTGTTTTAATAACGTAAAGGTCATGCCTATGTTTGTGGTACCTTCTGTATCACACTTGCAAAGATGTCTTGGGAAGTTCCTGTCAGCGGCTCCTTGACTGTCACTGAGGCAAAGGAGAAGTGGCAAAGGGCACGGAGCCGCTCACCTGTGCAGGAGCAGGTGTCCTCTGCCTCCTCTGGGTATTAGAAATGGGGCCTTTGTGGCCGATGCTTCAGTGCTGCCTGGCTTTCGTTGGAGGACGTTCGTTAGCATCTCCTGAAAAAACACAGAGCAATGAGGAGCAGATTAGAGAAATGTACTTGCAGAGGGTACAATCTCTTGCAGAATCGGAAAAAAACATTTAGATCTAGATTTGGTGAGTTGCCTATGATGGTTTTCCATTTAAATAACTTATAAATGCTGAAATAAAAACTGGAAAATTTCAAAGCAATCTCAGAAGGCTAGATGGCCATCTGATATTCAAATTACTGTTTTTTTTTTTTTAAAGCAGGTTACCCAAATTTTTCTCTTGGCAGTTTTCAGGGGATTACATCAGACAGACAGCTACAAAAGTTAGCAGTACTTCACCTGTGCCTTTGAATGTACATTCAGGAGCTTTTACGCAATCTGTCATTTCAAATCCACCGTAAGGATGTAGCAAGTAGCCATGAGAGTAAACAGGGGAGCACCACTGAGGGTAACAGGGGGTAGGAGTGAGTGTAAACAGAGGTTAAAAAGGCAGATCAAGTGATAAAATTACCAGAACCTCATAGATTATTGAGTCTTCGAGGTTACAGATATAATTCCCTTAATTTGCTTTACATTTCCTCAAAATTTTTTCAATATTTTTGTGGAATATTATGGAAAGGAGGTAGAATTATTGTCAATTATGTCATCGGAAGGAGAACATGGTCTTGTTTAAGACATCTCCTGCAGTATTTGAGAGCTTTTGCTGTCCCTGTGTCATAGGAAGGTCATTTCTGTCACTACTATCCAGATGTCCATCCTCAGCATCTGTCTAAGCATCGTTTTCCCTATGAGCAGGGCCCCACCTGGCACCTTCACCTCCCTCTTTAGCCCCTCTTGTTCTCCTCCCACTGCTTTTCAGTTTATTTTTCTTGTTTCAAGTCTCTTTTTCCATCAGTTGATGGAATTCTCTCAGTTTATCTCAGAAAGGAAGCTACACATATAGGCCCATACCAACGTACTGCTGTTTGATTTTCCTTGTTTTAATTATGTTTGCATTGTTTTGGGTATTTGTAACATTTGTCTTAAGCACTATTTTGATATGGAGAAAGCACACAAAGTCATATTGTAAGTGACCTTGCCATTTCAGGGTAAAGTGATTTGGAGGTCTTTCAAACCCGCCTGGATGCCACCCTGGGCCACATGCTCTGGGTGTCCCTGCTTCAGCAGGGGGTTGGACTTGATGATCTCTAGAGGTCCCTTCCAACCTCAACCATTCTGGGATTCTGTGATGACCTTTTCTCAAATTCCCCACCAGTTGTGTCAGGGCTGCCCCCTGTGCATATGAACGGATACAGGGAGAGTGGGTGACACTGGTTAACGAGATACCTTTAATTCTAGCCATCCAGTGCTGATCCCCCTTAACCCAGGGCATTGCTGCACTTGAACTTTAAATATTCTTATATCTGTGTTACTACCTGGTATTACTTCCTGCAGTATCCTTAGAAAGCATGTGAAGAAGCAAACCAAATGCTAGAGGAAGAGGGAGGAGAGAACTGGAGAAAGCAAGCGGGCGCAGCGTGGCGCCCAGCACTACGTTCACGTAAGAGGGGCACGTAGGCGCTACTGCGGGACGGCAGGCGCTAAGCGCAGGCTCCAAGCCCAGCACTGTGGTGGATGTGGGACTGATTGCGGGTGCACTCTCGCCGCAGGAGATTGCTCGGGTACACAAAGCTCCTGCTATCACAGTTAAGGGAGCACAGCATTATGAGGAAAAAGTATTCTGATTTTTTCTTTAAATGGTATCTCTTTTGTGAAGTCTCATATCTTAATCTCACTGTCATATTCATCTGAATTATGTTTTTCTCTTTGGTGTAAGACTCATGTGTGTATGTGTTTATTGTATTAGCTTGGCACAGAGCGGTCTGCAAGAAGCTTTGAGGCTTGTGATGAATTTAGAAAGCCCTGATCAAAGTTTAGTTTTTCACTCATCAGCTGTTTTAATTGCCCAACAGCGTGCAAGACAAGCAGGAGTCTGCACAGTTTAGTCCAGGGTGCACGTCTTTATGTAAACCTATTGAAAGCTGCCTTTACTCTTCTGCAAAGCTGGATGGATGATTAATCAGGTTAATAATAGGTAAGTACATACCGCTATTAATATAACACCAATAATGCCATCTGGCCATGAATAAATTGTTTAATTGAGATTTCCATCTTGGCTCCATTACAGCCCTAGTCGGTTCCTCTGTTCATGCATTTCCATATCAAACAAGAAATTACAGGAACATACTTAAAGATTTTTGTCTTTGGAAACTGTAGCCTCAGTTTCTAAGTTGGAAGTTTTTTTACAGTAAAGATTTAAAATAGGGGTACGTATCCAAAGGTGGGGAATAGCTGGCCCGAAACACATTCAAACCTAAAGTCAGTCCCTCAGAACATGGCTCTACAAGAGAAGGTAATTTAATGTAACACCCTGGAAAAAATGCACCATCTTTACTGTGAATCTGCAGAACATTCACCAATTTAGTTGTCTGATCTGCACAGAGGACAACATAACATTGCTTCTGCAAAATAACATGACGGGCCCTCTTTCCAGCTTCTGACTTGACTGCAGCAAATGCTGTTCTTCACTCAGCCTCAATACTCTAATTGTGTTTTATAGTAGTCTTCTTACATACAAGCAAAACCAGTTTTATGTTAAAAAAGGTCCTGTTTTCATATTATGCAAGCAAAGTGACATCGTGTTTTATGATGAATTACAATAATCTCCCCTTCTGTTTCAATATTTTTGAAGCGTTCAGATTAAAGAAAGCAGAATCAGGAAAAGAATGTTTAATCCAAAAGAAAAGTGTGAGATTCAGAGAAAGGTCAGAGGGAAGTGTTTATCAGCCACTTGTTACTAATGCAGCAGAATACCTGAGATTTAAGACAAAATCCTTGAAGATGAACGGGCTCCTGCACTTGCCTGAAGAGAACAGAGCAAATTACCACTTTATTACGGTACTTGAGACTTTGTCGTAGAACAAGAGCCATGCTCCTAATTGCCATACAAGGCACAAACAGACTTTTCTGTGTGCTGTAAAAAGCCATGAAGCAGAGAGGCCTGGGCACCGAACGGTTGGTCTGGATTCACCTCATAAGGGTGAGGCCCATTCACTGGGTTATTCTGGTTTTTACACTGCCTTAATTTTGGTGCCTAAAACATTGCAGCTCCTATCATCTGAGCTTCATGTCTGCACTCCTGTCACAGGGAAGACTCATTGAGTCAGCAGCCACAGAGGTTACCAAGCTAAGCACAAGTACCTGCCTCTAAATCATCCTCTAAATCCCATGGACTGGACTGACTAAAACTCTTGCATTGACTCCAGCAAATGCCTAGACTTGGACCTTGTCAGAATTTAAAGTTGGGTGACCTGGATCTCATCCTTGGAAATATTATTATATATCTGTTGTCTTTCAGATCTTGCCAGCCTCTTGCCAGATCCCTGAATAAACTGCCCACCTGCACATCATGAAGCAGAGGAGAAGCAGTAAGTTGTAGTCTGTAAAGTCATTAATTTCCTTCTGTTGAGAGACAATGAAGAATCTAAATTACAGTGACTGTACCCGCCCTGCTTAACAAAAAAGCCCAGGCCTGTGGTCTTTTGGAGGTGGAAGCCTCCACACTTCAGTGGTACTGGGTCCCTATGAAGACAGAGAGACAGGCTGACTAACTAGGTACTGAATTCTTGTGCAAAGAGACATCTGAGATTACCCAAAGCAAGGAAAAGTATCCAATTACTATGAAGAAAAGAGACTACAGAAAATAAATTCACACAGTTGCTTGCCTTTTTTATTTGTCACAGCTTTAATCACTTACAGAACATGCAAGTGTTGAGCTGTATATCCCTATATGGATTAACAGCTTAATACTGTATATTTAAGATGCTGCAGAATCTGTGCTAGTCACTAGCTCCACAGGATTATAGAAAGAAGAAAACCAAGAACTGAAGAATTTCCTTTTGCATTATAGAAATGTTGCCCTTGGAAATCTTCCCAAGGATTTATTTGAAAGGGCTGAAGAAAATGTTAGAGAAAATGAATTTCCACTGAGTCATGATGACACAACTATTTTTTGCTCCTGAAAAAACAAGAGATCTGACTGATATTATGGATTTGCATGAGGCATTTTGTACTCTCCATAAAAGTAGCAATTTGACTTCGAGATCTAGCAAAGCCTTAGCATTAATTTGCTGGGCACTGCTCTTTGCCTTGTTATTTTTGTATTTGATATATATTTCATAATATGTAAGTTTTTACAACATTGCACATTTAGTATTTCAGTAATGATTTGATTATGTCTGATCAAGAGAGAGCATTTCTCACTGCATTAGTAATATAGTGTGCTTCAGAGTGTGGGTTTAAAGAGAAATTTAACTGAAATACATTAGTAATATCTGAGCAGGTTTAAATCACTGGTCATGCTGGGATAATTAATATGTTGTTATTATGTTCATGATTATTATCTTTGATTTGGGTGTGCATACTCTAAGTGGGTATATTTTAACCAAGCCTCTGGAAATAATTAGCCTGAGTTGTTTCTCCTGAGCTGAACTGCAGGTTCCCAACATGTTCTCCTGGGTTTTGGAGCCAGAAGCAGCCTCACAGAGGCCTCACAGAGCTCTCTATGGGGATGACTAGAAACGTGCAGGCAGCCACAGCTCCCTCCATCTCCTGGCATCTGAGTGACCGACGCTGCGGCCAAGCACCAACCATGGATGCTCGGGACCAGGTCACCAGGGATCCTCGCCGTGACGCACCCTGTCTTCTGACACAGCCTACACCAAGTTTCCAGCCCAGAATTTTGGCTGCTATTGATTTGGAGCCTGAAAGACCTTCTCAAAGGACCTCTGTTGTGGTGAGTAGTTGGAAGACAAAAAGCACAGTGAAGTTCTAAGTATTTATTATTTCTGATTCTACCCTAGCATGTACAGATACTGTGTTTGTCATAGACTGAAAGTCTAATTAATTTTTACTTACTGAAAGAGTGGTAATCAGTAGCTGCCAGTACATCCTTCTATTATAGGATTATTCACCTCCTGTAGAAGTTACTTAGAGGCAGCACTGGAGAGCTAAACTAATTCATCCAAGAACCTGCCTTAACACAATTATGCCGGAGCAGTATGAGGAATAAGGAGGAGAGATAGGGTGACTAACAGAGCTGAAAATAATCACCTTCCCTGCAATGCAAAAGCAGTTTTAAACAAGGGAAAGGCTGTATCTGGAAAAGCGATAATAAAGGCAGAGCATTCCGAAGAAATCCCTGTGGATTGTGCAGCCTTTGTACTGACTTGGTTTATATATTTTTTGCTTTAGGAAAGATATGTTATCTGCATAAAAACACCAGACTCCTAGATCTGTAGCCAACTTCACTTTTACTTTATGAAACAGCCTCTTAACACCTAAATTTGCTATTTTATGCTTCTCTGTTGTGAAACAGAATACAAAATACCTAAATCTCCTCTTAAATTTTTATATATATATATACACACACACACGCACATATGAATAGATATAAATAAGTATGCATATAGAAAGCTCACCATAAACCTCAAGAAAATACTTTTTGATATAGTAAACAGTGCTTAAGAACTGTTTGACAGGAGATATTTTGATTCAAAGAGGACTGATTACTCTAGTAATGATATCTCACTTTGAATTTGTTCTCATGGAATAGATTTCTCCAGTAAACTACAGGAGAGGCTCCTCAATGATCAAGTGAATGTTGACAGGCTCTTAACGACTAACTAAACTTGAAGAATAATTTTTTTCTCGGGAAATTCCAAAGTTACCTTCTTTGTGTTTAAATCAAATCATGGACTGACAGTTAAATAGGATGCAAAATTGATGAGAAAAGCTGCACAACTAAGATTAGAAAATAAAAAAAAAAAATAGCCATTTTGCCTCAACTATACAGGGCTTCTATCTCCTATTACTTTTTTTAAGGACAAATTAAGTAACTCCAAATTTAGCCAGAGTTTCCTCGTATTGCTGAAATGGCACTGTATTACAGCTTACTCTGAGTGGTATAGTGTGTTTTCATACACAACGTTCTCTAAATAGGGAGCTCAAAACACCCTGAAGCAACATCTTCCTGTAAAAATAATTAGACAGTAATTGTACCATTAATGTTGTATGATATGGGTTTGATAAGCAGCTCAGATTCAGCTTAACATTAGAAGCTTAAGTGATGCACTTTGTGGGAGAACAGTGGTCCAAGCCTGCATGTGTACCTCTTTTTAAATGGTTATTGCTTAGGTGCTTCTCTATCCATGAAACAGGAACAGATCCCAGAATGATTAGTCTCTCAGTTCGTGTACTGATGCAAGCTGATGAGCTTGCAGAATAACTGCCCAAACAGAATTCAAGTCCTACTGCTTTTTTCCTGTGGTACCTCTTCCCACCTTCATTCTTCTCTGTCTGCATTTACCTGGCTATTAGTTAACTGGGTATTCTGTAAACAGAGACTATCTGCTTGTGAATCCTGTTTGTCAAATGTTTCCCTGTGTGACCTTTCTAATTAAGTGTGCCTGTGATCACCTGGGCACCTTGCAAGGAGATGCAGCAGCAGTGTGAGACACTTGGTTTGTCATGTTCTTGGCCCATGTGAAGCAAGGACTGTCCATTTCCATCACCTACCAAATACTTTCTAACTCTTGACAATGTATTGCTGCACTACCAAGCATAAAAGCTGCAAGCCCTGGTAGGCTAAGAAATCGTACCTCGTACAGACTCACTAAGCATTTGCTGTTTTTTTAGTATCAATTCTGTGTCTGCAGATGTGTCACAGACATTAGAACAAGTACTTGCACTTACACTTTTTGCACTTTTATTAACTACAGAGCTGAATGTAATCTTCAGTAGGACTATACCTGATAACAAACACTATGCTGCAAGAAAAGTATTTCAGGATATAATTATTAAATGTCCACCTGTGAAACTGCATTACTGATTAAAGATGGCATTTACAAAATACTTGAAGAAGAAATAGAGACACTTGGATGATTTCTACTGTACCATGGAAAGTGGTTTCTAAAAATATGTCACTGTTTTTGGTCATCAGGTCTCCACTGTGAAGTATGACATCTTTGATAATGAAAAAGTAATTTCTTGATGAGAGCCAAAAAGAGCTTCTTTATCAGATTATTCTCACACTGAAAATCTGCAGGAGTCAATTTAGAACTGGCATGTGGGATGTCTGATTTGTGTCACAAGGAAAACAGTGTGCTTAGGCTAACTAAATTATAGTCTTCCCTGCTGCAACAAAGAATTATATGAGAAGTAGCCATGAATCTGCATGGCCATGACCTGTACAAAGGTTAAATATGGTTATGACAGTGGACAACTGCTTGCTTAGAAGTAAAAAATGTTTTATCTTGAGAATTTTGAAGGGGGAAACCTGCAGAAGTCGTGGAAAAAAAGATTTTAAAAAATCTTATTTGCAAGTTTTGTTACTTCAGCATTCTAAAGATGGTTGCAGAGGAAATGCTCCGGTATTTACAGGTAATAGTGAAGATCTCAGTCACTAGTGTTAGAAAAATGACTCGAGTACATAGATATTGATTCATTTCTTGCAATCTTATTTCTGAAAACCACAGCCAAGTGGTTACAAATAGTCACAAGTAGTTGTGATGACTCAGAAATATGTACTAACAAACACATTAACTCCAGTATAGCAATGTACACTGCAGTAAGCAAAGGTTCCTTGCTGTAGTGTAGTTCAGTAAGCCTAGCTACCTTGTTTTGAAGAAAATATGTCCTGAATACTAAAGAACATTGCAAAATCTATGCAGAAATATCACTAAAATATGTGGGTTCTTCAAGAGGTAAGTAAATGTTTACCAAGCATTTGGTACACAAACTTCCATAATAGAATCATATTCCAAAGATACTGGAAAGCATAGGAAAAATAGGAATGTTTGCATCTGTTTCATTACTTTAAGTGAACATTTCTACAGGAGAAAAGAAATAAGCAATTTCCCCAGTCAACCGATCCTGTCCAATTATATTATCTACTTAGAAAGATTTGTTTTCTGTTGCCTGCTAAATTCTTCTTTCTTGGCGCAGCACGCATCAACACTGACACCCAGTGGCCAGAGAGAATTAACTAAACAGTGAATGGTTTGAGAAAGAAGAGGGTGCAGAAGCTGAACAGGTTGGATTTTCTCCACATTCCAAAACCTTCTAGTATACATAACGCTTTTGACAATATAGAGCACAGTGAGCCTGCAAGAACAGTATTTAGTTTGCAAGCCAGGGACACAACTCGAGACCTGAAAAAAAAAAAAAAATAGAAATGCTAAGACCATTAAAGAACATTTAATAACTTGGTCTGATTTTCTCCATATCTTAAGACATACTGATGGCATAAAATCTGCCTCCATAAAGCTCTTTATCCTTAGTTGGCTTAAGCACTAAACCTCAATGCATTGAAAATACATCATCTTAA